AATCAGTTACTACAAAAATATGGATATCCACCACTTAACAGTTCCAGGAGTGAACAGCAAATCCAGCTCAAGTCTCAGTGCAGGTGGCACATGATGCCCCCACCATTTTTTTTCTCTCCGGTAAAAGGAATTGCTTTTTTTATGACTAAAAACCATACAGATGACTGAACACATGAAGTATTTCATTAACCCTACTTGATAATTTGATTACAGCCAGAGAAGCTGCTCAGCTGCAGCAGCACAAGGGACCAGGGAGCTGCTCTATGAACACATCTCAGCACGGCGTGGGAAAGCGCTGCCTGGACAGTTTGGAAATCCAACAGTGCCTCAGGTACCAGTTCCTTTGGGTCTTCAGTAATTTCTGGTTTCAAACAGGGAGCAAAAGGCACCAAACCCACATGCCCAGCCTGGGTGTGCCTGGACCCACAGCAGCGCTTCATCCACAGCTCTTGGGAAAGGGAGCAAAGCCTGCCTTGCCAGCAGCCTCAGCATTGCTGAGCAATAAATAATCTGAAAAAAACCAGAAAACCCTAAACCCAACCCAACCCATCCCTTGCAGTGGAATTCTGTGCACTGTACTACACACCTTGGTACCAAATCAACTCAGAGAACCCCCATTAGAATCAGCAGGAGCTAAAAAAGTGCAGCGCTCAACGTAATCATTCCCATTTTTATCCTTTGTCCATGTCTCTCCATACCATTCTCAGAGGGCACTGTTAGGGAACTTCAGGAGCCTGAACTCCTGACTTCCCCAACAAGAAACCCCAAGAGAAAAGAGATTAAAATTAAAGCAAATTTAAAACCAAAATCACCAAATGCCCAGCATATTTTAAGTCACAGAAATTAAAAGCAGAAGCGTATCTTGGGTTTTAAATGACAACTTATCAGGATCTTTGTTTTGTGTTGACTCAAGAGCATACACGTAGCTCAACAATTTTTCTAAGGCTTCTTCCAGTTAATTAGTAGCATTTTTTAGAAAAAGAGGGTTGTTTCTTTTCCATTTCACATCCTAAATAGGTATTTGAATTAGCAACAGGTTGCAGGAAGTGTTGTTGTTGGACAGGCTGTAGTACAGCAGAGTGTATTGTTCTTTCCCAAGCATCAGCTGCTCGGTTTTTCCAGGAGATTTTCCCAAGGATGGCTAAGGTTTGCAGCGCTGCACAAAGCGTGGGTAGAGACAGACATCTCGGATGTGGTGTCTGTTCAGGATCCAGGTCAGGAACCGCTCCAATCCCAAACCATATCCCCCGTGAGGGCACGTACCGTATTTTCTCTGTGAAATTTGAAGCAGAGAGTGGATATTACACATTTTCTTCTTATTTAGAGTTGCAGTAATACCACCAGAAACAAACCAATCCTCCCAAGGGGGAAAAACCCCAACTCTGGTGTGTGCCCAGCAGCACACTGCTGTACTGACCTGATCCGTGTACCAGTAGTAGGGGGTGGGATCAATGCCCTCCCTCTTGTAGCCTTCGAGCAGCTCCTCGCTGTCCCACGTGCGCATGGAGCCCCCAACAATCTCACCCACGTTTGGCATCAGCACGTCCACCTGCAACGCACCACAGCACACCCACCGCTCACAACAGAGCTGCGGCAGGAGGGGAGGACAAACAGCCCGAACGCGCCGTGCCAGGCCAACCACAAAGCCTGGCAAGGATCCTCCAAGGATTTCCCTGGAGCACTCGTTCCCAGCAGCACTCCCCACAGCAGCAGGCAGGCACAACTCACAGACTCGGTGAGCCGCGCGTCGTCGTGGCAGCGCTGCATGTAGAACGACTTGATCTCTGCAGGGAAGCGGCACAGCAGGATGGGCTCGTTAATGGTGTCTGTCATCAGTCTCTCGGGGGCTTCGGGAATATCCTACGGTTAGAGGAGGATTTATTAATATTTAACACCAAAATGCTCCCATGCACCAGTCCCACACGAACCAGGCATGAAACAAAGTCAGGTGCAGACCACACCTGTCCACACATTCATCCTGATGTACCTAAATTCTTCATACAAACTTATCATAGAAAAATATGTATTTTATATAAAACCAGATATGTCCAGGGGACAAAATCTGTTCAATTAAAATCTAAGTCTTCCTAATGTCTCAGACAGAAAAGTGAGATAAAAAACCCTGGCTATGGCATCAAGTTCTCTGGAGCTCCAACTGTCTCACATGTTGGAGAAGAGCAGACAGGGAACAGGTGACAGGTGACAACACAGGTTTGGATTCCAATGCTCAGGGACATGAGGTGAAATCCCATCTCACAACTGCACTCCTGCATGGCATTACCCCACCTCCCCGCAGGACCTACCTCCCCAAACTCATAGTAGGTGCCATCTTCCTTCTTCACATCATGTTCCTTCAGCCACTCAATGGCCTCGGTGTAGTTCATGCGTCGGAAGGGACGTTTGGGGGGCTGGAAGCCCTGAGGATAAGAGCAAACATCATTATTCTGCCTTCCCCAAAGGATCACACTGATCAGGAAAGACTAAAGATCCTATTTTTTTTTGGCTATTCCCACTGCCTACCGGGTTGAGGTCATACAGGAAACCCGCTGCAGGTGATTTCAAGACTCTGTCTACGACATCACACACCAAATTCTCCAGACGGTCCAACAAATCCTCAAAACTTATGAAAGGACACTCAGCTTCGATGTGAGTGTACCTGAAACACAGAGTCACACCACTGCAAAACCACACACAGGCAATACACCTTTATGAAATAAACTCATTAAAAACCCCCCCACACAAACACACATTTCTGTCCCCTTTTAAATTTTCCCCACTGCCACGCTGTGAGGGAAATCAAGCTGTGAACTGTCCATACTCTGCCAAGTGCCTGCGGGTCCTGGACTGCTCGGCCCGGTACGACTGAGCCACGCAGAAGACGTCTCCCAGGGCCGGCAGGCAGGTCTCCAGGTACAGCTGGGACGACTGGGTCAAATAGGCCTCTTCCCCAAAGTAATCCAGCTTGAACAGGGTGGAGCCTCCCTCCACCTGCGTCTGCACTAGGGTCGGTGGTGTGACCTGTTGAAGAACAGGGCTGTCATCGAGGGAAGAACCGAGGACAGTGACAGCACACGAGTCAGGGCATTAGAGCAGTCACCGAGGGAGCTCACACTTACTTCATAGTAGCCGTTGGCAAAGAAGTGATCCCTGAAGGCCTGCACGACCATGGAGCGCACCTTGAAGATTTTGGACATGTTCTCACCTCGAATCATCATGTGCCTGTTGTTGAGCTGCACGTCCACCTCCGAGTCCTCGTTGAGCAGATTGTCAGCCCCTCCTGCCGGGGCCAGGCCGATGAGCTCCCAGTAATCACAGCTCAGCTCGTGGCCTCCCGGAGCCTGCCAGGGGCACAGAAACAAACACTGGGGGAAAAGTCCACTGTTTGTCCCGGGGTGGCCTTTCACAAGGGCCTGGAGTGACAGGACAAAGGACAATGGCAATGCCACAGGGCAGGGTTAGATGGGATACTGGGAAGGAATTCCTCCCTGAGAGGGTGGGCAGGCCCTGGCACAGGTTGCCCAGAGAAGCTGTGGCTGCCCCTGGATCCCTGGGAGTGTCCAAGGCCAGGTTGGACGGGGCTTGGAGCAGCCTGGGATAGTGGAAGGTGTCCCTGCCCATGGCAGGGGTGGCACTGGATGGGCTTGAAGGTCCCTCCCAGCCCAGCCTGTGACCCCGAGCTCTGCTCTCAACAGCTCCCCCTTGTGGGTCACGGCCGCCTTACATCCCTGAAAATGGCGTTTTTAATTAATTCTCAGTATTTTCAGGGTAGGAATCCAGATTTTCAAAGGCTAACCCGCACATTTTTACAGAAATGTAAGTCTAGGAAATGCCCATCAGTGGAAAATCGTTTCAGGCAAGAGCAGAACAGTCACACAGTTCACCTGCCCCACTCCAAGCCAGGGGTGACAGCGCAGCTTTGGGAGGTTTGTCTTTGCTCTAAACCTAATTGCTGCTGAAATAATCAAATGATTCCTTCTGTTTCTGCCAGGACAGCCATGACCTGTCACAGAGGAGGAGAACCCAGAGGAGCTGCCATACCTGCTTGCCCTCAGGCAGGAGGTTCAGAGTGCCGTACACCGCCACGCTGCTCTCGGTGGACAGCACCAGCCCGTTGTAGCACTGGCACTGCAGGGAAGGAGACACAGCCAGGGTAAGCACATTTTATTCTTACAATTCCTGCGCCGTCTACGGAGTCACAGACAAACTTACAGTCACTTCCAGACAGTTCTCACACTGACACACTCGGGGCAGGAGACACAATGAACAATAACAAAGCTGAGTCAGTAGGTTTAGGAGAATTTCCCAACGGTTGTATAAAAGAGGTATGAACACTTCATTTAATGACAGAACAGAATGAAACCATCACAACTTACCAGGTCATCAGAAAGGACGCACTGAAGAAACCCTGTGCCATCTCTCAGGACAATGAACATCAGATTTTTCCCTAGTTAAAAAGAGAGGAAATCTGCTGATTTCACTACAAGCAGATACTGGTAAGCTCCTCACTTAGCAGGATTAGCTTAAAACACAGAACAAGTCTTTTGAGGAAATTCTGCAGGGCCAGACTCCAAACTGAAAATCCCGTAGAATCTGAACTAAGAAATGTCTGTATGCTCACACATTAGGGGAAACTGTCAGTGTTGCAGTGACCACTGATAAACCACAGAGGACACCTAACTGATGGTTTAAAAATCTCAGGGTAGGTGCTGTTGGACTCGTGCTGTGTCCAAATTTTGAAGGCCACTGTGCTGGTTCCATCTCCCTGCCCAAGCTCAGTAGTGCTCGTGCCTTACCTTGCCTCCGTAACCTGTGAATCCAGCCAAAAATCTTCACTCTCTGCCCTCTGTAAGCCTCCAGAGCGTTGATCTTCACCTGTCAGGGAATAAAAGCCACCAAGCAGGGGAATGATTCACCACCTCCTGCACACAGGGTTCATCCAGAGCCCATCCCAGAGCACACACAGTCCCCGTGCTCCAAGGCACGGGATCATACTCACGCATTTGGGCTCTGGAAGGCTGGGATCATTCTTGATAACAACCTTCTTAGCTTCCTCCAGGTTCTTCTCTCTTCTCAAGAGATCTTCTGCCTGGTTAAAAGAAGTAACTTATTAAACAGCTGTAAACAGGCCAACTGTAAGTAACATGTGAAACAATGGCCCCAGTGAGGAACTAACTGCAGCTTTTTTGGAGGGGCAGGAACAACAGTGACACACAGTGACAGGGACACAGTTTTTGGAAAACAAAGGTGCCCTGCTCTCTCTGCAGCCTACCTCTTTCTTCTCCTTGGCTTCATTCTTCATCTGCTCCCTGTGCCACAGCTTTTTGACATTCTTCATCTGTGACTTGGAAATGATGGCCCATCTCTAAAGAATCCAAGGAGAGAGAACAGAGAACATTACACTGTGTCCCTTCACACTGAGCAGCAGTAAAATATTCCCACTAGGAAGCTTTAATGCCACAGCACCTCATTTTCCTTTTGAGAATCCACATAAATCGTAGGAAATGGCTCTTTCCCTGCTGTCATCAATGCCTAAAAAGGGGGAGAAAATAACAGAGGTGAACAAAAATCATCCTCACAGAGCCTGAGCAGGCACTCTGCTTCTGCTCAGGTGGCAAAAACAGGTATGAATTTCATATGAAAAATACAAGGGCCAGCACTTGTCCAAAGCACATTCCACACTCTTCCAAACAAAGCAGGTATTTTCCACACTTACCTTTAACACTGTCTTGAATGGTTTCTTCTGCGTCCCATCACCGGTAGAGTCATTGCCCTCTCGTTCAGACACGTACAGCTCTTCTAGGATACATCACAAACACGGGCAATTAGTAAAATAAAAATTAGGAGGAAAATCTGGACACAGAGGGATGTGACCCTGCTCACTGCAAGGGGCTGGACAAGGTGACCTTTAAAGGTTCCCCCCACCCCAAACCTCTCTAGGATACCAAATAGTGGTGGTTATAAGCACTGGTAAACCTTCAAAGGCACCAGCTGGTCAGACAGCACAAGAATTATCTCATACTGTCCACGGTAAAAATCAATCCATGCAGTGTGTTTTTAAGCCGTAAGGGCTGCCGAGGTACGGAACTCCCGGGAGTCACTGCCTGCACACCGGGAACGAGCTGCGGCCCTTCCCGGGAACAGCCTCGTGCAGGGAGGCAGGAGGGCAGGGGGACAGGGGGACAGGGACTGGGGAGCAGCCGGGGCGCGGAGCAGCGCTCGGCTCGCTCAGGGCCGGGAACCGACACTGGAAGCACAGCCAAAGGGAGAGGGCCCGGGCTCCGGGTCCCGGCGGTCCGGGGGCTGCTCCGCCACGGCCCCGGCACCGCCCGTGCCCGCATCGGGACACGGGGTACGCGAGGGATGCCGCGGATGCGGGGGCAGGGGATGGCGGGGATGCGAGGGATGGCGGAGATGCGAGGGATGGCGGGGATGCGGGGGATGGCGGGGATGCCGGGCCCGGCCGGGTCTCACCGAGCGCCATCGCCGCCGTCCGGCCCAGCACCTCGCCAGCCATGGCCGCCCGGCACTGCCCGGCAGGAACTGCATCACAGCGCTCCCTGAGCCAACCCCGCGCCGGGTTGCGTCAGCCGCCCCGCCCTGCACCTTCCCCTGCCAGGGAGACATGGGACACGGGAGGCAATTCCATCCGCAGCCTTCTGTGCGCGCCCCTGCGCTCATCACAACACGAGCGCTGCACTGGAGAGTATTTATTTTGCATTGCACTTTTGAAATGTACATTCCACTAAACGAGAGCTGTAGGTCATGATTTTTACTAGAGAACCATTTCAATAATCAACCTTAGTCCGGGAAGGGAAAGTAGATAAACATTCAGACATCTCAAGTCGAGTAAAGAATGTGCAAATGTAAGGAGACTCATAAAAACACTTTTTACACTGTGAGAATTAAGGCACCAGCATGTAAAGTATGTTCCAATGGGAGTGACTGATTGCCGGTTATCCATCACTGTATCCAGAACTGAAATGAACAGGCTGTGCCAGCCGCAGGGGCAGCTTCCAGACACCAGATCTATCCTAATTCCTAACCAGTCTGACATGGGCTGAAGTTTACTACCACACATATGCCCAGCTCAGCTGTGCCAGCTCTGTTGGTGTCCAGGGCCCTCCGAGCACCTCACGTGCCGTGATGTCCGAGCAGTTAATGAAATGGAGTACACAAAGGAAACAGCTTTCAAAGACAAATATGAAATGTAGCTGCAGTTTTGTACCACGATAGTATTAAAAAGTGAAAAGTCTGCAATTCCAGGCATCACTAAAAACTGATCCTGGTGGGTTTCCATTCCCAGCACACGTGTCCTTCACTGTCACACAGAGCAGTCACACAAGGATCAGTAGCTCCATGGAGAACTCTTGGATTTTCTGTATTCCCAGGAGTCCAAGCCCAGAAAGTTCTGTGATAAGACATAAAAACCCTCATGTCCTTATGCCATTTGGTTAAAAAAAAGATCCTGAGTTTGTTTAGAACAGTTCTGTGCAATCAGTGGGATAAAGGGGATAAGAATGGCCATCCCGCGGTGCCTCAGCTCGTCCCCCGGGTGTCCCCGCTGCCCGTCCCGGTGGCTGTGGCCAGCACTGCGTCCAGCGGGGCCCTCCTCTTGCGGATGCTGCGGCCCGAGGCGATGAGGTCGGCGTAGCCGCGCTGGTGCGAGAAGGCGTAGGCGGAGCGGCGGGCGGAGAGCCCGCGGCGGAACGCGCTGTGCCGGCGCCGCCACTGCTGCTCCTCCAGCTGGTACTTCCGACGGTTCCGCTGGATCTGCACACACACAGCGCGCCGGGGGTTAGGGCTCTCACACCCTGGGCTGTGTGCCAGCTCAGGACAGGGCAGAAGCAGCCACAGCAGCCACAGCCTGTCCCCTGCACTGACACATCACCCTGGCACTGCAGCCCAGCCCAAATTAACCCCGACCTGGGGATCTCGGTACCCTCACCGGCTCTCAGCCAAGCACACAACGAATCAGCCCCCACTGAGCTGCTGCCCCCGGCCAGCCCCAGGACCAGAGCTCCAGACTTGTGTCACCTCCCTGAGGGCACCAGCACTTATTTGTCTCTCATGGAATTACACAATCCCAGACTGGTTTGGGTTGGAAGCCCATCCTCTCCACTCCCCTGCCATGGGCAGGGACACCTTCTACTAGCCCAGGTCTCAGCACCAACACCAACTCCTGTAAGTAAACACCTGCCAAATTCATCAAAACAACGCAGCCTTCACTCACTTTGTCGCTTTCCGAAGGCCAGACCGTCATGGATAAGAAACGCTGGGCCACTATAGGGAGCAAGCAGATGGCAATGGATAAGATCATGGTGAGCCAGAGGTACGGCTGTCGCAGAGCATTGGGAGCAGTTCCTGGGAACAAACCGAACAAAAGTTACTGTGTGACAAAGCTGCCTGAGACAGGACCAAGAACCACAAACCACGAGGACTGACCTGTGAACTGAAAAGCGGAAGGGAAGAGAACGTGGATTCCAGCACTGTGCAAGTCAAATGTGATCCCAAAGTAAAGTGCAATACTCCCAAATACTGAAAAAGCATTAACAAAAGTCCAGTAAGATGTATCCAGGCCAATCTGAAAGCAAACAAAAGTGCCAAGTCAGTCTATTCATTCCAAATAACGCCAACTACTTTTTGCATATTGTTACATTTTTAGTGCAGAAATTTAGAACCGTGAGCAGAAAGTGTTCTCAGAGCACCAGAGCTCAGGGAGCCAAGTTTACTTGCCTGAAAATTGACGACAAATATCAGGGAAGATGCTGCTGTGACAGCAAAGGACTGATAATCTGCAGGGGCTTCTCCATCTTGTCCCATAGACTTAAGGTAAGCTCCGTACGGGATGAAGAAGATGATGAGTGAAGTTACAGCTCCATGGAGCAAACTTAAAAAGAATTTCTTGTAGTTGAAAAGTAAATCCCTCTGGCCCAAAATATACAATTCGGGGAACCGAAGGCTCAGTTTGTCGTTCACGTCCTTAATAAAGGGGGGGAAAGAAAAGGAAAGCTGTTGCAATGTGCTGAGCTTTGAAGAGAGAAGCTCAGCTATCCAGTGTCCCAAAGGGAGTGGCAGATCCCTTTCCCTCTCCAATAGCAGGGCTTTGCACAGAGTAATGCACGAGGAAAACTTTTAAAAAAGCCACAAACCCAAACGAACTGCCCCTGTTTTATGGACCAGCGTCGATATAAGTAAAGACCCGCTGGCAGATGCCTTTGGGCTCGTCTGTTGTGTCCACGTGGGAATACCTGGTCGAGCAGGCCGACAAGCAGGACCGGCAGGCTGGAATACAGCACGTTGTACAGTGTGATGAACCAGTCCTCGTAGGCTGTCTGCAGAAGAGGGGGAATTGCAGGAGTCAGTGATTTCTTTGGACCCCATCCTTCCCCTCCAGTTGCTGAGAAAACTCGCCTGTGCTCTCCTGTGGCTTTCAGTTCCCTGGCTCGGTGTTCACCCCAAAGGCAGCAGCACCTCGGCTCAAGGCTCTGCTGGAACTCTTCAGCCTGAGTAATGCTGCCCTGCTCCTTACAAACCTTCCTCCCTGTACAACCATGGGCCTGACTTCAGGGCTCTAAATCATACCCAACTGCTTGTAATAACTCTCTCAGTACTCATCACCTACTCTCCTGCAGAAATCCCTGGTGACAGCTTCAGGATCCCACCACATCCCAGGTTAAGCCTTTGCTGTCCCGCCCTGACAGAGTATCTGCTTGTTGTCATCCCACCCCAGCAGACCTTCCTACCTGGGCAGAGAAGCCGTTGAAGAAGGAGTACCAGATGTGGACCAGCGTGAAAGCGAAGTTCTTGTAGAAGAAGTATCTCAGAAACTTGCACATCCTGATGTAAGACCACCGCCCGTGGACCAGCAGCAGGCGCTGGAGGTATCGGAACTGCGCGAAGGAGTAGTCGCTGGACATGACGGCCTGCATCCCTTCCTGGCCACTGATCCCAACTCCAATGTGGGCAGCTGGGGCAAGGACACAAACATCACACACCAGGCTGGACAAAGGGACAGGAACAACGTGAATGGGGCACGTCTCTACTGTCACCTGGATTCGCTCTCAGTCCTTGTTCTGTCAGAACAGACATGGGAAGTTTGAACAAAGCAGAACCAAATGATGAGACAGAGCAAGCAAAGCCCTGAACAAACTGGCCAGGCAGTTTAGGGACATAAACCCTATCCCAGAGGTTTCCTTCTCAGTGGGATGTCTTGGGAAGAGGTTCAGAGAGCAGCAGCTGCAATCCAGGATGGTTATTGCCTCCGGGCAAGGGGCACCCACGCTATTGCTTTGGGGTTTGTATTAAACTACTGTAACCCCCAACATAACAGGTGGAACTCATGTCCCTTCTCGGAAATGTGTAAAAAAAAAGACCAGGAAAAACCACTAACCATTTCCTAAAGGGCTTCCTCAGAAAGGGAAACAGGCACAGAAGCAAAAGCCCTGTGGCAGTGACACAGATGGAAGAGTCTTCTGAGCAGAGAGGGACAGTGGAGAGAGTGCAGGAGCAGGGCAGAGGAGATGTGTCCTAGCCAGGGAGTGCTGCAGCTGCCTTACTTTTGATCATGTTCACGTCATTGGCGCCGTCCCCGATGGCCAGGGTGACGGCCTTCTTGTACTTCTGCACCAGCTCCACCACCATGGCCTTCTGCTTGGGCGTCACGCGGCAGCAGATCACGGCCCTGCACTCGCACGCCAGGTCAACAAAGTTCTTCTGCTGCTGCTCCTTGTAGGCCTCAGCCCTTCTCCTCTTCTCAGCCTGCTTTTTCTTCTCTTCTGCTGTTCTGGGGAATTTCAGCCTCAGCTTCTTTTTCTTCTTTTTCTTCTCCAGCAGGATTTCATTCTGTGTTAACAGAAATGTATTGTGTTCCCTTCTGCACCGTTTCCAGTCCCACTCCGGGTACTGCCCAGCAACACCCCTGAGGTCATTATGCTCCCAACAACCCATATCTGGCACTTCTCGTGCAGACAAAGGAACAGAGTCCCTCAGGGAGGGACACTGGGGCCTGGTGGTGCCCCAAAATCCCAACCAGCCTCTGTACCTACCAGCCAGGAGCCAGTGATGATTAGAGCCCGATCTTTGCTGCCCTGGAAGAAGGGCTCGTTCATTCTGAGAGAGGAATGTGTGCTGGATCCAGCCCTGTTCCTCTGGTTTTCCAGCCTAGTTTGAAGGAGAGCACTGGGAAGAGAGCAGGAGACTATTACAGGAGAACCAAGGACAACCTTTCAGTTTGATCAGTCCCAGACTGAAAATCCTGGAAAGAAAATCCTCTGTGTTTTCACTTGCCTGGTATCTTCTCCATAGCAGATGGCTGTTTCCTCTGTCAAGAGCTCACAAGAGAATCCAATATTTTCTGCAGTTTCTACAGAAAGAAATGGAGAGGAAAGTATTTACTGAAAGTTCTGTCATGAGTTCTGGCTGTTCTGTCTGGTGGGAGCACTTCAGTAATCTTTGATTTATATTTCAGTTTGAGAATTCCCTTTCAATACCCCAGTGTGGATGAACAGGAAAAAAAATCCTCCTGTTTTTAG